CAAGGGAGCAGAAGATAGGAATTGATCCGGATCTATATGTTTTTATCTTTTGATTGATAGTGAATCTTTTGTACTCAGGATAGGATAGATTTTTGTACTTGTGATTGTAGTATAGTTCCTGAGTATTGTACATGAACTTTTGAGATATGAATCGACTTATTATTGATGTTTTTAATTTATAGATTTTTGTTTAGACGATGATCAATTGGAGAATTGTAGGTAACTCTGATAAATGGCTGGTTAATTGACATTCTTTCCAAGTTAGATCTTGGGGCATGACAAGTTTGGTATCAGAGCAGTGTTATTGGAAGAATGGATACTTACCAGAGTTGTAGGTTTGGATTGAGAGTTAGGTAGAATGGGTAGCTGTAAGAGCTTCATTGGCATACATCATTACATGTGTGTATCATTTCTTCTGAATTGTGCAGGTGAAAAGATATGGATCCTCCGGCAGAATCCAGTATACCGAATGAGCAACACAGCGCAGCCCCAGTACCTTCAGAGAGTATGATGCAGTTGGCTACTGCGATTGCACATGTAATGGGGGATGCTCAGAGCAAAATGAGTGGGAGCAAAGAGGAAGAAGCTGATAGACACTTGCAGATGTTTCATAAGCTAAAACCTCCGTTGTTCAAAGGGGCTGTGGGACCTCAGGCTGCTGAGGATTGGATCATGAGGGTGGAAAAGATTTTTGACAGCATGCAGTGTCCGGGGAATCGAAAGGTACCATTGGCTGTGTTCTTGTTTGAGGGTGAAGCGGAGAGATGGTGGATTGGACAGCAGAGAGAGAAATTCCAGGGGAAGACCAATGTTGAGATCATATGGGATGAGTTCACCGCAGTGTTCAGGATGTTGTTTGTACCACCGTCAGCTCAGCGACAGATGCAGGAATCTTTCATGAGATTGGAGCAAGGCCGCAAGTCAGTGATGTAGTACGAGACCGAGTTTACTGCACTTGTGAGGTATGCTGCTCATCTGATTCCTACTGCCGAAGAGAAGTGCTATAGATTCCTGTACGGATTGGACAGAGAGCTGAGACATCCACTAGTATCCTTCCGGATACATGAGTTTTCTGAGCTGGTGGAGCGGGCCCGATTGATAGAGATTGACTTAGTGACACCAGTATCGAGGTATGATGATACCAGGAGGAGGAGAGATGAGGTACGACGAGATGATTCAGGTAGAGACAGAGATAGAGAGAAGAAAAGCAGGTACGATGATTTGAAGGGATCTGCATCGCGATCTGCATCGGTAGTATCATCTGGTAGTTCTGGAGAGTGCATTCACTGTGGCAGACGACATGCAGGTCGGTGCTACCTGTTGACGGGACAGTGCTTTCACTGTGGACAGCAGGGGCACAGAGCAGCAAATTATCCTCAGAAAGGATTGGGTGGAAGGACTGATTCTGGCATGGGTACAGGACAGCAGAGGACTGTTGGCTCGAGGGCT